ACTTGATTATTCATATATTTCAAACTTGTCATTTTCTGTTAAAAAAATTTAGCGGTTGTCTGAGCTAGACATTAACATGTTGACTGAGATATGATGAAATTTGATCCCAAAATCGTTTAAGTTGTATTTTATGGATCAACTTTTTGTTTACATTATGTCGTCGAGCCAATGCATGAAATATTATATCATCGCGTCAATGCTTGAAAGCAACAACAGTATCAGTAGACATCATTAAAATATAATTTTTTTCATACCACGGTTAACAAGTTAACATCCAGCTTAGACGTTTGTCAAAATTTTTAATAGAAAATGATAGGTTTGGAATATATAAATAGTCGTGATCATTTTGTAATTTTTAATAATGAAAGGACTCAACAAAACATCACCCTATAGTCAGAAGATCATTTGTGTACTTTACCCTAAAGAATTAGGAAACTTTAAATAATTTTTTATTTTATTTTAAAAATAGAAAACAGCCAACAAATGATGAACCAAATCCCATTTATTTTGTGAAAATGGGAAATGATTACTGACGCCAACCATAGCCCATGTGAGAGTTGTAATCATAATTATATATTTGGTACAATCGCAATCTTTATTATTAGTATACAAATTGATACACAACACATGCACTTTATAGATCAAGATTTTAATAAATCCACTTTGATATGATTTAATTAATTATTTAAAGTAATAGCATATAAAAACAAATTTTAACAAGTTTTCTATGGCACCCAATTAAGTAAATAATTTTTACCATAATTTGTAATGTTTTATTTGATTATATCCTTTTATGTTTCGTTTAATTTACTTACCAATCATTTAATTTAGATTTTGAGTTAAAAGAGGAACATGATACAAGACAAGACACAAGAGTTTGTAGCACTTAGGTCGCAAATGGAGATCACAATACTTGTTTTCATCGATTTGGAGACACAACAATTACGCTTATGATCCATAAACCTTTCCTTTCAAAATGAGTGTTGCAGAATCAAACCACTAATTCATTTAATGCGGATAAAAATTGATCATAAAGATTGGATGTTCCTCAAAGTTGATATGGAAATTATTTATGATAGATTAGAATGTGCTTTTTTCTTCTCTTTCTTTAAAAACAAGGGTTGTTTGAAAAAAAATAAAAATCAAATTACATCACTGTTTTTTTTTTTTTGAAGAGTAAAAGCTTGTATGATATTATTAAGAATGGAACAACACAAGAACAACGACAACAATCAATGCCTCGTTAAAAACTTCTTTAAACCTAAATCGAGGAAAAAGAGTCTCCAGACCAAAGTCGGACAAAAACAACAAAACCAATAGAGCACAGCTCACCAACCAAATCGGTAAGCATACAAACTTCACCCATAAAACCAGCCCCCCATCGCGCGAACCAGTAGAGACCAGGGATGCAGAAAACAAACGATACAAGAAACATAAGTCAACAATAAACCAGCCAACACTCCGGGAGCAGAACCTTTGCCCGGGCTCCAAACCAACCCCAACCATTCTCGAACTCAAGCATCCAACACCATTCAAATAATACAAACAAGGAAAACAGCCAACAATGCAACCCGACCAAGATAAACTGGGCAACTTCAATCTCAAACACAAAATCAGTTCTGGCTAGAAACAAAACAGACCGTTATACATCATTATAAACTTGAATCAAGTCAGCTATCCTATTAATCCCTTTTTTCGCCAATAAATTCGCACTTACATTACCATCTCGCCCAATCCAGAGAATGGAACCACCAGACCTGATCAAGGCATCTTTGCAAGAATCAACTAGCACGCGAAGACCCGACGGAGCTAACAAAGGGTTATTTAACCACTGAACCGCAGCACTGCAATCAGATTAAAAAATTATATTGAACACTCCATACCAAACAGTATCCATGAACAATGAACAAGCTTCTTTAATTGCTAAAATTTCTGCAGAAAATGGATCGGCAAAACCAATGGATTTTGAAAATTGAATTAAACAATCTCCCTTGTGATTTGCAAGTAAGCCTCCAATTCCAGCTGGACCAAAATTCCCTGAAACCTCCCCATCTGTATTGAACTTCACCACATCCAAGCCCGGGGCCACCCAAGAACTCCGAACAGCAACACTATCCGCAGGCTTTGAGATGAATTCGTTGATGGTGAAGGAGATATCCGACCAATTAGCCTTACTCCACCATCTTAATTTAAGCCAAATACTGTCCAACACCTTACCATCCTCCCATGTTTCTTGATTGAAAATAACTCCATTACCACAGCACCAAATCGACCATAAAACAGAAAAGAAAGTCATTTTCCAAAAGGGCTCAATCTTACTAGAAGGACAGTAACCCAGCCAAGCTTCAAAGAAGGGATAGCCGAGATTATGGAACACGCCCTTGACGCTCAATCCGATCCAGCTGCACCAAATCCTCCAAGAAACCTCGCATGAAAAGAAAAGATGGTCGATTGTTTCTATCTCGTTTTTGCGAAGGACACATGAGGTCTCGACTAAGGAGACACCCCTTTTGAGGAGTTCAACCTTAGTTGGGACCCGGTTAATTAACACCCTCCAAGCAAAATGTTCAATATTATTTGGGACCAAACCATACCAAAAAGATTTCCACAAAAGGTTTTGATTAACATTTTCATAGGCGAGGTTGATAATATCTTTTGATTCAAAGCATCCCGAAGACGATAAATCCCATCGAAGGCAATCTGAAGGGGAAGATCCAAAACGGCAGCCCTCCAAGGTGTGAAGGCAGTCATCCCAAATGTCTCTCCCAATCAAAAACGTTTCTTCTCAATTGAATACTCCAAACCCAACATCCTTGTAGCCAATGTCCAAACTCCCTTATCTTTCCTTCCTTTTTAACTGCCAGCGCAAAAATCCTGGGAAAAAGAGTTTTCAAATTTGATCTATTCACCCAATTATCAGACCAGAAATCCAGCGAAGAACCATCTCCCACCCTAACGTGGACATGTGATGCAAACGGATTAGAATCAACATTGGAGAGACTAAGGGGGCGCACGATCCCACACCAAATCCAAGGCTTGTTCCTAGCACTTGTGTTTACAGGCAAGGTGTGGTTTTCCCCTTTCTCATATTTAGCGTTAATAACTCTGTGCCATAACCTATTTCTTTCCGAACCATATCGCCACAACCAGATATATAACAGGGCTTTATTTTTTACTTTGAAATCCACCAGTCCAAGGCCTCCAAATTGGCGAGGGAGACAAAGACGCTCCCAGCTTACCCAATGAATCTTACGACTGTCCAGAGATCCCCAGATAAAATTAGCCAGTCTTATTCATCACTAAAGCAACAATAATCGATCGCCGCTACATCTTACCATCTTACTATCGTACTATCGTACATACTTTTCCCTCCTTTAAGGTCGCAATTTGTCGCGTCCACGATAAAGATGTAACTAAGGATTTATAATTATAAATTTAAGAATTTATTAATTCAAGATTTATGAATTTAAAATTTTATTATAAAATGTAAGGAATTTAAGATTTTTAAAAAATTAAGGATTTGTTTTTTTTTTAATAAAAGAAATTAAAAATCAAGAAACGTATCGTATATTCATTAGATAATAAATTTCTTTTGAGAAACATTGACCATTCAGAGCAAAAAGAAAATTAAACATGTATTTTTAATTAAGCCTAAAATTAATGATAATAATAATAATAATATATAAAAAAAGCAAACCTAAGACAGTGCAGCCGAACCTGAAAAGAAGGCAAAGTGAGCGAAAGTATGGTGACAATAAAAAATTGAACTAATCAATTCATCGCTCTATAATTAGCATTTTATCTTTCCGGATCTCCCTCTAACTCCACCACACACTGTCCTATCAAACTAAAAATATAATAATAATCTTTTCAATCATTAAATTTTTATTATTCTTTTAAATTATTCATAATTTCCTATATTATAAACTTACGGTGCTCAAGTTGATATAATTAAATAATTAATTTATAAATATATGGTTAAGATCTATTTATGTAGTATATATATATATATATATATATATATATGATGAGTGTTGACACAAGTGTTTGATTTTCAGGAATTTAAGCTTATAACGACAAGTTTGAATCTTACCATCGTCACTTTTGGTGGGCAGTCTATAAATTCCTATGTAAAACTCAGTTGTGTCTTAAGTATGTATTGATCCTATAATAAAGAGTCACCCTACCTAAACTTTTTTGTAAAAAAAAATAGTGTATATATATAGTTTTACTCGTTTAAAATTATTAGATAAGTGAAAATAAACAATTACGGTTATTTCATTATTTTTTCAGTGAATATCTTCTCATTTTCTGTTGTTAATCTTATAGGTCTAATTTCACTTATCTAATAATTACAAAAACTTATAAAATTAAAATAATTCTACATTATATAAGTTAATTTTGCCTCATAAATATATATAGTTTGACATAAAATTAATTATAAACACTCATAAATCATATTATTATTATTTTACTTAAATTCTCAATCTAAACTAAGGAACATTATTTAAGTTAATTTTGCCTCATAAGTATATATAGTTTGACATAAAATTAATTATAAACACTCATAAATCATATTATTAATTTTTTACTTAAATTCTCAATCTAAACTAAGGGCTTTTTCGTAGTCAAATAAAATGTTTTTAAAAGCAGAGATTTGGCATTAGTAGTTAAGATTTAGGAACTTGAGTTGGTAAGATCAAGTTCGAATTTTACTACTGTCACTCTTAATAGACAATCTGTAAATTACTATGTAAATCTTAATTAGATCTTTGGTATGCTCTGGCTCTGGATTGGAGTAGTCACCCCGACCCAAACTTTTTTATACCAAAATAAAATAAAATGGTTTAAAATATCAATTATTAATATTTTCTGCACAACTTATCACATTTCAATGGTTTTTAATAAATATAATATTTTAAGAAAAAATTAAATTGATTTTCATTATCTTTAAATAGAAACGGTTGGCATTTAGCAGCAGCAAAGGGCAAAGAGGAAAAAAATTCCAACCTCCGATACAGTCGCTTCATCCAAAGAAAATTGTGGTGTGATAATTATTCAATCAAACAGAAAATTCTACGGTATTCCCAAATTTCCTCTTACGCCTCTTTTTCCCTCTTTGGCAATGGCTCTTCTCCTTCGCGTTCTCTGCTAAATCCTCCCCACGTATTCAGGTAACAAGCTTCTTTTTTCTGGTTTCATTTTTGCATGTTTCATAAAGATATTGGTTTTGGGTAGATTTGACAAGGAAGAGATAGAATTTATGTGAAAGAGACTGTTTTGTCCTGATGTTTTTTTTTTGAATGAATTGTCCTGATGTTTTAAGTTATTGAAAATTAGGCTACCTTTAATTTTGCAGATCTAGACTCTAGAAACTAGAATGCTAAATTGAAGCTTTATATATACACACAGAGAACTTCTTATATGAATGCAGATTCAATATGATTATTATGAAATGTGGTTTCTCGGTTTAATTTATGTATCTTGGTTGTGATTGTAAGTGTGTAATTTGTAATTTTTATATTATGAATGAATATGTTGGTTTGATTTAGTTTAAGGAAACAGTAAAACTTTTAAAATCCAAATTTTCTTATAAAAGTTCTGATTAATTTGATTTAATCTTGGAAAATTTATGTATATGTGGTGGAAGATGATCCAAAACCTACAGATTCAATTCTGGTTTTCTTTTAAATATTGCAGTGTATTTAACAATGGATGATCCAGGCGGCGGCAAGTTGACTGGAATCCGACAGATCGTTAGACTAAAGGAAATCATTCAAAAATGGCAAACTGCCACATTAGGCTCAAGGCCTCCCCACTCCGGAGACTGCCCTGGGGGACCGTTGAACAAAAGGCTAACAAACGTTTTGTATTGTGATTCCGATGAGGAAAGTTGTGCCAGTCCCGAACCACCGCCTGATGTTCCGAAGGGATATTTGGCAGTTTACGTCGGTCCAGAGCTTCGGAGGTTTATCATCCCAACGACCTACCTTACTCATCCCGTCTTCAAGATTTTGCTGGAAAAAGCTAAGGAGGAATTCGGGTACGATCACAACGGTGGACTCACGCTCCCTTGCGAGATCGAGACCTTCAAGTATCTCCTCAAGTGCATAGAGAACCATCCTAAGGGTTACCTTGTGGAGAGCTCTGTTTCCGAACAGGTCCGTACTCGTTTTTAAGCTCTATGATCGAGTTCATTGCTCGTCTTCGTTTATCAATCGGTTTCCCTAACATGAAGATTATCTGTGATTTTTCTTTTTGCAGATGAAGATCCATTAAGTAATTGTTTGTGCTGGTCTTAATTGTTATCAAGAACTTGGGGTTTTCTTACGTCTTCTGTTCTTTCTGTTTAATTGACAAACGATGTGAAACAAATTTAGTTAGAAAATTTTTGGATGTATTAAATGAACACTCACCATTCACTTGAAGACCAAAAGAAATTAATCTATTTTCGGTAATTTGTTTAAAATTGTCATCTATGAAATCATAATCTGTTTAGGAATATGAAATAAATATCAAACTAACTTGTACCACTCAACTTTTGTTGCTAAAATAATGTAATACAAAGAAGTGAGTTGTATCTTATCAGTTTTTTTTTTTTTTATAAAAGGTTTATATACTAATCTTTTTTTTTTTTACTCATACAGGGACGACGTATATTTTTATGTTGGGGGACGAAAACATATTTTTAATAAAAAAATTATAAATAATATTTAAAATATATAAAAATTTAAAAATTTTAAAGTAGCAACCGCTCCCACCCGCCCTGTTCTAATTCCATCCCTGGATACATGTGTTGTGTTATTATATAACTAACTCACAAGCTACAATCTTTTTGCAATTTCGCTAGACAAGAGGCTGAGTAACTTTACTTGCAGAAATTTAATTATGGAAAAGCCTACACTTCTAGTCTTGCTATTATGTAACTCACGAAGACACAATGTGTTGTTAAAAATCAGACTTACAACAATAAGAATAAACACTTACTAATAAGACATGAATTTGTGTATGCTAAGAATTTAGGTAGTCTTAGATCTTAAATGATTTCATACATCGACTCAAAATTTTTAGGTAGATAAGTAAATGAAGTTATTGTAATTAAAAAAAATCAATATGGTCATTAAATTATTTTTACATTTAGTGTGATTCTTTAACTAAGAAAATAAACTAATGTAGCTTTTTGACCGACTTTTTCTATCGTTGATTGTTATGGTGCTGGCTTGACAACTTATAGTGTTGATGTGGTAATTCACGGTACTGATGGGGTGATCCATGGTGTTGATTACGTGGCAGATGACGTAACAAATATGTTAATTTGATTTTTTGTCATGTTCAAGGACTAAATTAATATTTTTAAAAGTTCAGAGGTCTATTTAATTTTTTAGAATAAATAAAATTATTTTAAATATACAAATATAAAAATATTTAGATATTCAAAAAGATAAATATAAAAATACTAAAAATAAATATTAAGCTGCCCAAAAATTAAATATATATATTAAAAATACTATTAAAAAATTAAAATTTAAATATATATCATAAACTATAAAATTATTCCTGAAATGATGACAAGGCGATTAGAGCACTATCTGATGATTTGTTTCGTTGCTCAGTCAAGTTTGATGACCACTATAATAAGGTTATGCATTCTTTGGCTCCAGTATGTATATATTTATATTTAGTTGTCTGTTATCAATAATTTTAAAAAGTAAATAATTAGAAGTTTTCAGTTGACACCTCTAATTTTTTTTAAGTTATAGATTCAATACTTATTAATAGTAAAATTCTTTTATTTCTCGCTCTCTATTCTTGAGTAGGGATTGTTCAAAAGGAATATATATATATTTGGTTGTCCGTTATTTACTTATGTAGTAAGCATACTTTAGTGTTTTGTGTCTGTTGTGAATATATACGACTCTTAATTAGTTGTGTGTGTTATCAGTATAGGGATATACATAATCCTTTGCCCGTTCTATTTGTGGTTAATACATGCACACAAGCGAACCTTTTGAGCCATAACACACATATATTAATGTTTAATAATTGAGTGTGGTATTGTTTTTGCTCGAATGGTCCAATGTTTAATTATCAAATTTAGTATTTTATATGCTCTAATCGAGTGTAGTATTTTATTATTAGCTCATTCATGATTGAACTTTTTGTAAAGTCTAACAAAAAGTAGGTTCCATCTCTAGAAATCTGAAATATATAAATCATATAAAGTGAATTATTTGATGCGGTCTAAATTACTTTTAATGAAATACGATAATAATAGTTATTAATAAACTCAATTATATATATATATATATATATATATATAAATACTTCATTAGTCAATAATTTCTAGAGCAGGTGGTAAAATATTCTCACTTGATGGTAATATCTTCTATTTCTCTTAAGTTGTGAGTTTAATATCTATTATGAACAAAAAAATTTCTTCTCCTTCCCTAAGTAAAAAACTGCGTGGGGTGTAGTTCATATGGTATAGCGCTCGTTTTAATTATAAAAAAAACTGTTCCAAAAATATATTCATCAAAGTTAGCAACGCATTCATAAATAAAGTTTTTGTTTAGTAGTAAAGTTCATTCTATAATTATTTTTTAAAATTTTAAAATAAATATATTTTAATTATTAATTTAATAGTATTAATCATAATCATAATCGTATTTATATTTAAACCTTTCTAAAAGAATATATTTCATTCATTTATGAATTTTAATTCTTAAAATTTATTTTTTCAAAAAATATTAAAAAAAGAATTTTAAAGAGGACAATTTTAACTTTAAAATATTAATAATTAAATTTTAAAAAAAGCCTAAACAGCTCATAAGTTATAGGTAAAAAATATTTCTCAAATATATCTAGAACTTGTCATCTCTATAGTATTACAATAATAATTATACTAATAGAATTAAAACTTATTAAATAAATTTTAAATTTTAATATAAAATTAAATTATTTACTTCCAATCATTATGCTTGTGGAATCAACCAAATTACCATAAGTGGGATTGGGTGAAAAGTTGAACTTTTTTCAACTTTCTTAAAATATATATAATTATACATTAATCAAATTACCTTAATAGTTAATAGATTTATCGTTGTTACATGAGATATCAACTTTGAACATTGTATATGTAAAAATATAAATATTCATTGTCAAATAATTATAAATTTATAAATATATATTACATTATATTCGCTCAAATTCATAAAAAAAATATACAATCATTTCTAAAAAAAATTAACAATCATAAAATAATGTCTCAAATCTCTATGATAAATTGATTCATCAATATGCACAAATACAATATATATTTGATTGTATATGGAATTTCTACATTATACAATATGGGTAAATTGAATGAGCTTAATTCAATAAAATTAAAAGTTAAAAACTTTAAATAAGGTAATATCAATCTGATTAACCTAATTAGTTGACAATAAATGAAATTAAACATAAAAAATAGATAATCTAAGGAAGGAGATCATCCCCAAATAGGTAGAGCAGGCGATCAACGGCCCAGCTGGGTTCATTGTTAGGCCAAACCAAGCTTTGAGAAGAAGTGAGTAAAGGAGCTCTGCAAAGGGGACAAGTGTTGTGATTATGATCATGGTCATCATCGTCTTGATCATAGTCAACCCATCTATCAATGCAATCTTGATGGAACACGTGGCAGCAGTTCCTCAGTTCCCGGACATCATCATCTTCCTTGAGCTCACACAAGCAGACAGCACAGGTGTCGGAAACCCAAGGCATCCTTTCCTTAGCATCCCCGAAGGTTGTGAGGACCAGGTTGTCTCTGATCATTTCCGAGGAAACAGATGAAGATGGAGAAGAGGAATAAGCAGAAGAGAAGAAGTTGATGGGTTTAAACGTGAGATGAAGAGGCCAAGACAAGAGCCATCTTAAAACAAGAGCTGTTTTGTAAAGAAGATGGGCTATGATTAAAGCTGGATCGTGTAAGAAGAAACACATCGGAAAGAAACAAGGAGAATGGAAAGGAAAGTGATGATTAGTGAGAAGAAAATGGGGGAGATTTAAAGAAGCATCATAGGACATTATGTAAATGGAGGGGACCCAAAGGTAAGTGCGCTGCTTTATTTGGAATAAAAGGAAGATGAATAAATGTGGCGACTAGGTTCATATGGACGGTGCTCCTTTTAAATTACGATAGTAACGAATCTATTTTCATGTTTTTTAATAATTTGACGAGTACTAATTTATAATTAAAATTTTATTTGAAATATTTTCGAATTAAATCAAGTTGTTTAATTTTTTATTTAAATTTAATTGTAAATATTTATAATATTATGATATTATTTAATTTTAATTTAAACGATTTTCTATAATCATATATATTTCTTTATATTTTTCTATGTGTGATATACATATATCTTATAGAGTTGAGTGTCTCGACTCAAATTTAAAAATCAATCTACTAATAATTAAAAATTTGAGTTATTTGAGTTTTATTCTATAACTCGATTCAAATTTAAATTTATTTCAAGTGGAGTCAAGTTCATACAGGTGAACAGCCTTCCATCATGATTTCCTATTTATTCCCTCAGCATATGTTAGTAAATTTTAGATGAACATCAGATGCAAGCAAGGATGAAATTGCTAATTTTATTTAGGTTGGCCAAGTTAAAAATTTAAAATCCGGAAGGCCAAAATTAAGATTTTTATGTTGGATTAATCTTTTGGGAAGTAAAAATAATTTTTTTCATTTGACCAACAAGTCCTCATGCTTGATTCTAACTATACATATAGATAAAAGTATACTTATAACGTGGATATTCAATTATATTATTGTGATAAAAGTACACTTAAAAGAGAATATTATTATTTTGAGGTTTCGAGTTCGAGTAGTTACGTTTGTAAGATATGTTTATGTTTATTGTCAATTGATTTAATTTTTTTTGAATAGATATTACCTTTTAATCTTTTCAGACTAATTAAAAAGAAAAAAAAAATAGATTATTGTGTTTATACTATAATACTAAATACGAAATTTGTAGGGAAAAATGATTAGAAAATATGTCAAATATATTAGGATGAACCATGCTTTTCTTGCATGTGCTGTGCTGGCTGCAGCCTGATTCATGCTGTATTTGAAAGCCGTTTTATTAAAATCCAATGTTTAGTCATAAAAAGCAAAAGGAAAACATCCCCTTTTAATCATCAAGCATTAGCATTACAAATCATTCAATAAATAAATGAGAAGATTCGTTATTTAGAATTAGAATGTTAAGTGAAACACAAAAGAAAGATCAAACATCTATGATTCCCCATATATATGTATCTATGCACGCAAAATCCAAGAAGATTGCTTTGCTTTTTTTTTTTTCTCCTTTCCAAAATGACACGTTAGAAATGGCCCCATCACAAGTTAGTTTCCACAATCCCACACTGATCCCACCCATCTATAAAGTTCTTTAATCATTTTTATAATCCCTTGTATTTGATTTATTATTGAAACAATCTGAATCAAATATTATAAATATTTATCAAATAAACGATTTTATTTATTCAATTTATTTCATTCACCATGATAATATTCGATATACACCCATGGATGTATATAGGGGGAAATTCACACCTGGTTGCCGAAAAGATACGACTTTGCATGCAAGTTAAGTAAAAGCAACTCATAATGAGATAATTAAAAAAAATCCTTATCCATTCTTACAGCAAAGCAAACATTTTTTGACTATGTTTTAAGCTCAAGTTGATTCAATTTAAAAAAAGGCCAAGATAAAAAGGAGTAGCTTTTGGAAACTTTTACATTTGTGTCTTTCCACTAAAGTTAATGGCCAAATTCTGAAATATCTTTCAAGAAACTCCACCAACACAATGGAATATATTTATATTATCAACGTTTATCATAAATATTAAAAGGTTAAACATATCCTATGTTTACCAACAAATGAGAGGAAGGTAAAAGGATTCAATTTTAACTTAAAAAGGTAAAAAAGATAAAATCTCATTTTTTGTAAACGTTATTATTATTATTATTATTGAAAAATAAATTTTGTGAACGTAAATGTAAAGAACAGGGACCGAAGACATATTTTGACCTTACTAAAACGGCCTAGTTCATCAACCGACCAAAGTGGACCATCACATTATCTCCCTCATGTTACCTAAACAGTAACATAACTAACAAGTTTAGCATTTTTATAGGAACTTGTATTGCATTACGACAGCATTCTCATTGTTGACAAAAAAATAAAAAATAATGGGGAAAACAAGACACATTGATTGAGACTCTATGTCCGGAATCTTATTTGATAGTTCATCTACCAGCTATAATACAAACACTAAGCTGTTTATAGGGATGAAGCATTATATCAATATTTTTACCGAGGAAGTTGGCAGCTAAAGCTGGAGTTTTTCGGTTGTCTGAGCATATTATGTATTTGCCTTCAGATTCTCTTGTCTAGTTGGTTTCACGGCACTCGCCCTCTTTCATCTTCATTTGCATCTTGTATTGCAAAGTGATTGGCGCACAATCGAATGGTGTTTCTCCTGGAAATAAAAATGGAGACAAAAAGATTCATACAAATACGAGCTGGACATGCTACCAACTAAAATCAGCAATGAAAAGAATGGAGAGTTCTCAATTATTGACTTGTACGGATCCCCGCGGCATTCAACAAAGTTATACCATGAATATCATATTTCTTTCAAATGGAAAGGTAAGTTTTTCTCCACTTTCTAACGCTTGATCTTATCCAGAATTAAAGGAGTTTCTAAAGACATTTTCACCTTTCAGTAACCTCAAAAATCTACCGTGGGTAACTTCAATTTGTAGATAGACATATTTAAAATCAGAAATGCTACAAAACTCGACATATATTCAATTACCTTGTGCATTCTTGTAGTCCATGCTTGCTCCATAGTCCATGAGGGCGAAAACTATATCAGTTCGATTGAACAATGCCGCCTACACCAAGTTAATACTGTCATCAGAGTAATAAATTTGGAAAGAAATGGAAAACAAAATTATGCATCCAATCAGCCAGCCTTCACGAACACATACAAACGATTGCAGTTACATGCAACAAACTATAAACATCAGAGAGGGAGAGAGAACAATACCAGATGCAGTAAGGATAATCCTTGCTTATCACGGTAATTTGCATCTACACCCTGCACATGTAATAATACCTAAAAATTCATTCTATTTGAACTTTGGAATAAAATCATCGCATACCTCATTTAGAAGCTTTTTGGCTGCAACAGTATCACCATTCTTTATGGCTTCCCTTAAACCCTGAGTATAGTAGTATATACAGAGAAACATAATTCAAAAAATGAAAAATACTATAATCGTTTGAATGCCTCATAGATAATATACTTCATTAAAGAGTTCTACCTCTCCATTTACATCATAATCCATCTGAGATTTATCTGCAGCAGTACCATTGGTCACCAGAGCAGGATTGAAAACCGAACTGCAAAGATGTTAGCCATATCTAAATATCTAAAAGAGCTGTGTAAAACAGAAGGCAAAATTATCCACCAAAAGAGGCTAGATTTAAGTGTTCTATGTCTCAATAAGGCCATAATTTTACCAGAATCCAGCTTCAGGTTTCAAATAACTCAGGTTACTAAAATAGGCCAGAAAGTATTGGATTTCCATGCTCAAATCCCACACATATAATATATTAAACCATTTGAAATCAAACATCATGTGATGTTTTATAAGCCTAAGTTTTCTAGAGTAGTTACAGCCATAACTTTCTTATTATTATCTTTGAATTAATAAAGAAAAGACTAGAGGTTTTATAACCCTAAGTTTCTAGACCATCTTCTTTCCTATTCGTTTTTGGTCATAATTCTACTTTTTATCGCTGATTTTCTTGTAAACAAAATCATTATGTTTGGAAAGAGTGAATAACAAAGATCGAATACAAAAAACTGCAGAATAGCATACCTAGATTTACTGTTTGAAGTGGAGCCTCTATTCTTGGGAACAGTGTCAGTCTTTTTTGATTTAGGATTTGACGAAGTCATTGAAGATGGAGAATTTATCTGCCATGTGAACAAATATGGGCCAATAAGACAAGCTTGGATCAGCATATGAGGTATTTCTAAAACTAAAGAAGAATTCATACCTTAAGTGGAGCTGCATCTGTTGCTGGTGCTGGAGCTTCACAAATACACAACGGCATTCCACACTTGCAATCTGGAATACTTGAAATAGGCTGTGGCTTTACAGTTGCATCAGTTTGTGAACCCGCAACTGCATTGTCTAATCTAGAGACTTCGTCCATAACAGAATCAACTCCACCTAAAGGAGGCTGAGTGTCAGCTTTTGCAGATCTGCACTCAGATAAATTCACAAGAAAAATAATGTGAAGAAAACAAAAAAATATTTAGAAACATTCTCTTAAATTGTGCTCAAGTTAATAAGAATCTAAAGCATATCCAAGCTACAGCCCCTCCTCTTTCTAATCAATGATATTTAAATATGTATATGTGTATTCAATCAAGAGAATAGTTACCCTGAAGATTTATTGAAACAATCTGCACAAACTCGGACGGACGAAAGTATGCCAAATTGTGGTAAAGCCTGAATATGCATACATGAAAAGAAATAAAAAAGATTCCTCAGTACAACTTGGCTTATTCAAACTTTTACAACTTGAGAAATGAATAGAAATCCTTAAACAGAGGGACTGGGAGCTCGAACCATTTGACTAGATGAATGTTCATGGCATAATGTCCTTCCACAACATCGGCAATGGTGCTGCAAAATAAAGATGGTTTCATGCATTTTTCATAAGTCAGTCAGTCCAACATAGAGTAGATCATACCTAATTCAAAGAGAGATTGCACACAAGAATAGCATGTCCATTTACATTTTGATTATAGTCAATATCATAAAAGATCTATAGAGTTCGGTAGAACATACAAATTATGATTACATCACTCTAGATCATCATTAGCAAGGCATTGTAGTCTTGCATAACAATTTCCACAACCAGAACCAATTATGTCTTTGATAGCATACATATAGGCTTCAACCATTGATCCCAAATTCCTCAAGTTTGAAGGCAAGGACTAAGTCGCAGTCACAAATCTGAACTTACATACTCACAAGATCAGACATGCACCCGATTCAATCTTTCAAATCAATATAGCTGCAGGCCTAGCCATAAATCTGGTTATCAATACTTCCAAAGCACCAATATACCGTATCAAAAATCAAACCATAAAAATACTAAATAAGATTCAAAAGAACTCTGAACCCGAAAATTAACGAACAATAAAACTCAAATTTAGATCGAATAGATAAGTCAAACTGCTAAGATCAAAGCAAAGGGACACAGCCCAATATAGTTTAAACAATTACCGATCTATGACTGAAAATAAACCTAATCGGTAAAATTTACTTCATCGGACGATATGATTCATTGTTTCCATCGCATTAAATTAAAATGATCGGTCATTAATTCTTATAAAATGAATTTTAAAAACAAAGTAAAAGATTTGAGAAAAATAATATACCCGGCGCCTGAAAGTGTTGAAGCTGCATTTGCAGACTTCGCAGCGTGATGCTTCCTGGAAAGCCGGGGGCTCCGATGACATTTCCGATTTCTTCTTTTCCCAGTCCGGCGGCAAAATGGATAAAGGTGCTGATTTTTTTTCTTTTTCGGGATTTTGAGATGCTTTTATTTTTATTTTTGGCCTTTTTTCTGCCAGAATTATCTTTTGTCTTTCTAATTGTATGAACTATTCGGACAGTCCTTCAACTATAGGGTGTCTTTTAGTTGCATTCTCTCCATATAATAAGTTTTTAATGGTTGTATTTTAGTTATTGGAAATTATAAAATAATTACGGCTCGTAGTTTTTATTTTTCAGACGAAAAGTTGTTAATAAAATTAAAATAATACTAATTTTAATCTTTAATTTTATTTTAACTTTTAAATATTAATTTTCAATATTTACGTATTATAAAATTTTATTTTTTACTAATTCATTTTTAATTGTTGTTCAATCTCTAATAAATTTTATTCGATTTATTATAACTAACTTATATATCCCATAAAATCATGAGACAATCTTCTTTGATTTGGATTAAATTTCTTGTAAATCACATTAATCAAATAATTTTAATAATTAAAAAATTATTGTTACTATGTAATTAGCTCTCTTTCATGTGCATATATATATATATATATACATATTTGTCTTTTTTTCGTATAAGTTTACTTTTTATTCAGATTTTTACTGAATATCCCAATAATAGATGTTTATCTTCTTTTCATATGAATTCAATAAACGATTTTAATGAAAAAATATATAATTCTTTTAAGAAAATATAAATTTGAACAATTGTATCTGTAAAATGTTTATCTATTATCAATTGATTAAGAAATTTTGATCGAATAAAAAACTTCTTCTTACAATGAAATATTACAGATGAATCCTTCTCTCTAGTCTTAACTTTTACTATTACCGGTACCTGAAAGCTTTGATAAAAAGCCGCAGAAGCTATTCCAGCACTTGGAGTGGAAAAGGTGGAAACCGTTGAAGAAATCAGGAGTTGAGTTCAATGGATTCATAAAATCCGTAATCCCTTTTCAATCTTTAACAAGTATCGTATTTAGATTTTTTTTGTCTTTAAATTGCCTTTATATATAATTCTCTGTTTCACGAACAGATTCAAATCATGTCCTGCAATTTGCTTAAGCTCAACTTTTGTATTTTTCTCCCTTTATATGATTAAATTATGTCACACCAACTGGTTTAATGTGCCATTGTTGTAATGATTGTTAATGGTAAGTGATTGATTTGTTATAAATTAATAATATTAGTGATCAATTTATTATTTTTGAAACTTTAGTGGATTTTCTCAAACATTACTAACTATTTATGTAGTTTATTATTTTTTATCATAGACCTAAGCCAAAGACTTTATGTTCCAACATTAATAACTATATATGTAGTTTACTATTTTTTTTTATCGTAGACCAAAACTAAAGATTTTATGTTAAGTTGTTCACACTAAAAAAAGATGAATTATTATTAGTTATTATACATTAATAGTTTGATGGGATGAACATATACAATATTCTTCGACCAAATAATAAAATAATTATAAGGTACTATTTGTTTATAATGTTTTTTAACTTATAAAAAGCGGACATGTATTTTATATGTATAATTGTTGGAGCCCATTTTTTTTTAGAAAAAACAAAATTCTATTTTAGACAAAGACAACTCAATGTTGAGAACAGTTATTTGAAGCAAACTCTGGAGCAGTCTTCTCCTTTCTCTCGAGTCTTTTGTTTACATATAACTCGAAGCATATTTCAATGGTTCATTTAAAACCTCTTGATATATACATTAGGGCGTTACGCGTTTCCTTTTGAGCAGCGTACTTCGCGAAAAACGCTATAATTTGATCATTTGACAAAAAACACACGTTTTACAAACTCTAAATGAGCAAACATTTTTACTACCCGAAGCTAACCCAGTTTCACAATCTCATAAACTTATTTTTCTACGAACAAATTAGAAATAATGGAGAAGCCAATCTCCACACAATCTTCAACATGTCTCGGACACAAATAGCAGTTCCAAGTACAGGGGCGTAAGAAAGAGGAAACGGGGGAAATGGGTGTCCGAAATTCGACTTCCCAACAACCGTGAGCGTATTTGGTTAGGGTCTTTCGACTAGGCCGAGAAAGCAGCCAAGGAGTTTGATGCCGCTCTTTTTTGTTTACGCGGTCCTGATGCTAACTTCAATTCCCCTGACAATCCGTCGTAAATCCCCCGAGGGAGTTTGCTTAGCCAGCCGGAAATTCAAGCTGTGAAGGCCAGGTTTGCTAACCAGGTTGACGAACAGGAAATCGGTAATGAAACTACCACCACCACCACCAATAATAATAATAATAATAATAATAGTTCAAACAACGACAGCTATACCAGGACAGAACAGTACAGTTCGTCTTCATTGACGGCTTTAGAGATGGAGAAACATGAAATGGGTTGGTCGTCGTTTGTGAACATGTTGGACAAGGATCAAGGGATGTCCGATTACGGATTTTATTCACCGATGAGTAACCACTTTCCCGGTGATCAACTCTATCATCCTCCACCTATTGATGATAGCGTCTATGATGATGAAAACGGTGGTGATGTTTTTTCAGTCATCATCATTTCTTTGGAACTTCTAAGCCAAATCACATATCATCAAATTTTGAAGAGCGAAATAATGTTTTATTTTGGTCATTGTTTTAAATCATTTTCATGATGGCAGATATAGAAGTTACTATAATTATAAATGCATCAATCAATATTCACCTACCGAACTAAATATAAATCTGTCAACAAATCATCTCTCTTCACCTTGTATTAGTCGACTCTATTAATTTATCCAGATAATAAATTTAAAAATTCTTTCTATGCAGTATGTTAGGAATATATTACATGGATGCTATTATTATTTCTATTAGTTAATGTGACTTTTAACAATCTTTAATGAATTGAAAAGATGAAATGCCAAGGGACTTTCTTTACATGTATTATAATTATTAGAGAGTATTCCTCCCCATATATATATATATATATGGGATTCATGTACTCATCAAAGTATGAATATAGATATATCTATATCTATTTTCTCTCTTATATCTATCCTTTATTTTAAAACATGTTATCACTAAGATCCAAAAATATTGTTGGACAAGGCTAAACAAAAGTGAACCAAACATTACCAATTTCACTCAGGTGTGTAGATCTCCATAATTTAGCATCTATTAAGTTATAATGTACTATCATTGTTAAAAGCACACGTGGCATGACTTCTTAAATTGAGATTTACTACTTAAGTGACACTTACTTTGTAAAGAGATTTATGACTTTGCATGTTTTTTTTTAGTTTTGGCATGTGTGAATAGTTTTATTTTATGTTTTTCTTTACTGTATATTATTTAAGATTCGTTCATTACTTTATACATATGAATTTATTATAATATACAAGTTTTTTGTTTGTAATAGTGATTTAATCTAGATATCTCGTATATATTAATTCAACTTTTAAAACATGTTTTGTTGTTTGAGTTTCTTATCATCAATCACCAGGATTAGAGTTTATCCATTGCAATAAAGTGTAGATTATGAAACAATAGTGTATTTGCTATAAAAGATGATAGTTTAATGTGTAGATTCTGAAACAATAAAGTGCATTTGCTGTATAATCTCTTTGAATTGCCTTTTATAAAATGGAGAGCATCCATTGCAAGAATTATTCATCGGCTTTGAGTTTTTGAAGCAAATTAATGTTATCTTTTATCAGGCATGGCTTTAAGTTTTTGAAACAACTTATTGATACCTTTTTATCAGTCAACTAGCTAGGCTGAATATGAATATTTATATAGGAAAATTATCTAATATATAAATTATATAAACTTTAACTTACACTAGTACTTCATTTATTCTAATGATATACGTTTTATTTAGGATTTAAGATTTAAGATTTAAGAACGCAAGTCTTAAGATTTAGAATTAGAATTTATGTTTAAAACTTAGAATTTAAAGTCATACATAATGTTAAAGTTTTTGATTTTAAGATTTAAGATTAAAATAAAATTATGTAAAATGACTAACAAATATAATCTAAAAACATAATTATTTAAACTCAATATCTTTAAAAAAAATAATTCTTTAATTATTGAAATTATTTAATAGGTTCGAGATTAATATTTTATATTTACGAACTGAAATGTGGTAAAATATAGTGTGAGTGGAATGAAAAAGATCAACGGATTTTGCATAGACTAAATCATATTTTATGCCATCCACTGTCTCCAATGAAAAGGCATTATTATGCAGTGGATTTGACAACACTAACAAACCTTATAATAAACAAACTAATCTTCCCTTTACACTTGGAAACTCCTCTCCCTTGACTCTTATTTTATTGCAAATTTCATTAGCTTTGCTTCTCTAATATAATATATATGTATCCTTTTCAAAGCCTTTATTATTATTAGTTTTTCGCGTAGTTTCTTTCCCATTTAAGTATGAACAATGAACTAAGAAACCGTTGTCCACGCTAATAGACAAAGCAAAGTAGAGTTTGACTATACCATTCCATATATAATGAATGAAGAAATATGTATATCATTTTTATAAATACAAATTCTATAAATTCATTATCATATTGTGGTTGGTTTCAAATCATGGTTCATTTTGTTTTTGTTAGAACCAAATTATAATAAATATGAAATCAAAATTTAAAATTTAATCATATTAAAACATCAAGAATAAATATAATATTAAATTGATGAAAGTTTACATGAATCTATTGATGGAGATCACCTAAAAGGTGATTTTGATGCTAGCAATACAATCCACTTGAAAACTGTTCATTTTTATTTTACTCATAAAGGAAATAATTAAGCACAAATTTTCATTGATCGTACTAAACTCTATCAACTTATGTTTATTTTTAATTATCTAGGTTATAATTTATGGATTATTGCTATGTTTTATGTTTTGAGGGATAATTTATTATTACTTTTATGAGACATTTTATCATTGAATATTTTAACTATTTGAATTTGGATATATTGCACATTATAATTATTTTTTGACTATTTTTTTCTTCATTGAAGAAAATTATGAATACCTCTTAAAGGTAATTAGCATTAAATGATGAAGATTTATGCCTGGCATTAAATAAGGAAGTGTGAGCACTATATTTGGTAGTACAAACATTGTAGAAGGCTCCGGAAGAGCAAATATAATATTGCCAATGGGAACAAAGTTTGAAATCATTGGTGTTTTATATTCCCCCTAAGTCTCAAAGAAATTTATTGAGTTTTAAAAGATATTCGCCGAAATGGATATCATATTGAGACTATAAGTGAAGAAAATCATGAATTTCTTCAAAATACGAGAATTACTCCAGGCAATAAACAAGTTCTAGAGAAGTTGTCTACATTCTCTACTGGTTTGTACTACACAAAGATCAATTCAATAGAATTACATGCTATAGTAAACCAAAATTTACTGATAATTTTATTGTTTGGCATGACCGATTAGGCTATCTCTGTTCAATTATGATGCAAAAAAATAATCGAAAGTTCATGTGGACATTCATTGAAGAGCCAACATATTCTTCAAAATAATTTTTCATGTGTCGCATTTTCACTAGGCAAGTTGATAATTAGTCCATCACCTACTAAGATAAATTATGAATCAATTACTTTTCTAGAACGAATTAAAAGGGATATATGTGGACCTATACATCCCCCATGCGGACTATTTAGGTACTTTATGGTTTTAATCGATGCATCGACTAGATGGTCATATGTATCTTTGTTATCAACTCGCAATTTGTATTTGCGAGGTTACTTGCTCATTAATTCGATTGTGCTGAAGAATTTACTTCTCAGTCTTTTAAAGACTATTACATGTCCATTGGAATAAGTGTTGGATATCATGTACCTCATGTTCATACATAGAATGATCTTGCAGAATCTTTAATTAAGTGACTTCAATTGATAGCAAGACTATTACTCATGAAGTCTAAACTTCTAAACTACTTGGGGGCATGCAATTTTACATGCGGAGACATTGATTCGCATCACGCCAACAAGTTATCATAAAATCTCCCTATTATAATTGGTTCATGGTCAGGAACCAAATATATCCCATCTAAGAACTTTTGAATGTGTCGTATATGTTCCAATAGCTCCACCATACAGAACTAAGATAGGTCCTCAGAGAAGGTTGTGTATATGTGTTGGATTTGAATCCACATTGATAATTAAATATCTAGAATCATCTAATAGGAATTTATTTACTGCTCGTTTTACAAATTGTCTTTTTGACGATTCAGTTTTTCCAACATTAGAGGGAGATCAAACAACTGGTAAAGGAAATTAATTGAAAATAATTATCATTATCTCATCTTGATCCTCGTACTAAGCAATGTGAATTAGAAGTTTAAAATATTATTTATTTACAAAGTTTAGCTAATGAATTGCTAGACGCATTTACTGTCTCAAAGAGAGTGACTAAGTCACAGATACTAGTTGTGAATGCCCCAATAACACTTGAAGTCCTAGAAGGACAAATTCTAGTTGCTAATGGGTCTAATGCATGTCTGAAGCATGGTATATCGATTGGTTCCAAAGATAAGAATCCTTGAAAAAGAAAAAGGATAAAGAAGAATGATGGTCAAATCGAGGAAATAATGGTTTTACCAAGATCTCCAGAAGAGAATTTAGACATGACTAGGAAAATAGTTTCAAAAGAAACTCAAGTACTTAAAAATGAAGATATCTCTATTAATTATGTCATGCCCAATATTAAATGGAACCGAAATCAAATCGACATCGATGATATTTTTGCATACAATGTAGCACTAGATGTTATGAATGACAAAGAGGTCCATGAACCAAAATCAATTGAAGAATGTAAACAAAGAGATGATTGGCCAAAATGGAAAGAAGCAATTGAAGCTGAATTGAAATCGCTAGCGAAAAGAGAAGTATTTGGACCATTAATTCGTACACCTGCAGGTGTGAAACCAGTGGGATACAAATGGGCCTTTGTGTGTAAAAGAAATGAAAAATGAGAAATTGAGAGATATAAAACACATTTGATTGCACAAGGATTCTCACAAATACCTGGAATTGATTATGATGAGACATATTCTTCTGTGGTGGATGCAACTATATTTAGATTTTTGATAAGTTTAGCTATAAGAGAAGGGCTCGATTTACGCCTAATGGATATAGTAACAGCTTATTTGTATGGCCCACTAGATACTAACATTTACATGAAACTCCCTGAGAAATTTAAACTGTCAGAAGTAGTGAATTCAGGTTCTCGAGAACATTATTCAATCAAATTGAATAGATCCCTCTATGGACTGAAATAATCCGAACACATGTGGTATAATTGCCTAAGCGATTTTTTGTTAAAAACGGTTATAAGAATGATCCAGTTTGCCTGTGCATTTTTATTAAGAAGTCTGGAACTGTATACGTTATTATTGCAGTATATATTTGATGATTTAAATATCATTGGAACTTCTGAAGAGATTCAAACTACAATTTATTATTTGAAGAAAGAATTTGAGATGAAAGACCTTGGAAAAACAAAATTTTGTTTGGGGTGGCACATTGAGCACCTAAAAGATGGAATCCTTGTGCATCAATCAACATATATAGAAAAAGTGCTAAAATGATTATATATGGATAAGGCACATCCAGTGACTACCCCAATGGTTGTAAGAGCACTTGAACCGAGTAAAGATCATTTCCATTATTATGAAGATGATGAAGTTTTTCTTGGTCACAAAGTATCATACCTCAGTGCAATTTGGGCATTGATGTATCTTGCTAGTCATACCCGACCTGATATATCATTTTCTGTAAATTTGCTGGCAAGATTTAGTTTATGCACAACTCAAAGACATTGGACTATAGTTAAGCAAGTATTTTATTATCTCCAAGGCATAAAAGATATGGGTTTGTTTTTCTATAATAAATCCAAAGCAGAGTTGATTGATTTTGCAGATGTAGGATTTATGTCGGATCCTCATAATAGTAAATCACATACTGGATATGTTTTTACATATGGTGGTACAACAATCTCTTAGCGCTCCATGAAGCAAACGATTCAGTAACTTCTTCTAATCATGCAGAAATCTTAGCAATCCATGAAGCTAGTCGTGAATGTGTATGACTAAGATCTATGATACATCAATGTAATACTTCTATATACCTTTTATTTTTGTGACATAGATCTTCGCTATTACGTATAATTTTATTACTTTAGATATATTTAATATTAATAATATTTTGTATATGATATGTTTATATAGTTTTCTGCACTTGTAAATATATATATACTATTTACTTAGTGGACTTTGGATACTATATTACATAGTTGAAAAATAAATACTTGTTAACTTTTGTATGTAAATGATGTTTAAATCTTTGAAGATTTTTTTAGATAGAGTATGCGATTGACGAGATCTCATTGTAATATTTGGGACGAATTTAGGAAGTTACATATTTTATATTCAAAATTTATTTTAAGTATGTAATTACTAATTAGCTAGTTCTACATTAATATATATAATTGGATTAAATGATATATGTTTTGTTTTGTTCTGGGTTTGTTAATGAGTTATTTAGGGTAATATATGTATGATTATTATTTGGAATATCATTAGTAAACAAAATGATTTTACAAGTTATCTCAAGATAATTATAAATATTATATTGATTTAAAAAAAAATTTGTACTTATTTTAAAACCGCCAGTAAAATTATATTATATTTTCACTGATGTTGTATCAATAATAAAGCATATATAATATTATATAAAGAAAGAAAAGTAACGTGTTGAATGCACCACAATATAAGTTAATTTCATGTATTAGATTGGTCTTTTTGTTCCCTTTAATACACAGTAGTAGCAAAGTAGGGGGAAAATAAGTTCAAAAAGGAGACTATGGGCAGTTAGGGCTAGCAAGCTTTGCCAAAGCAGCGACGGCTAAAGTGTTGACATAAGTGCATGGCTCAGTGTAGATCGATGTCCAACGTAGATCACTGAAGTTATCTTGCATATCAGGTCCACCAAGAATAGCTCCGGTTAACTCATTCGGGTTCGGCTGATCCTTGTTGAACCACCGGGCGAAGCTCATGGCACAGTTGACGTCTTCGTTAGCTTCCGATAACGGCACCGACGCACCCCTGTGGTGCGCTTGTTTCGGTGGATTCTTCCCGAACCCAACCATGTATGATCTCCCTTGTGGGTTCTTCCCTAGTATATAATCCATCTGCAAGTGAAATATGAAGGAATATATCATTCAATTCAAATGCATCGAAAATGATTAAAGTTCCCTTTTTCTTACCTGCTGCTTAGCGAAAGCCCAGAGGTGTTTAGCTTCAAACTGTTTATAACCACATTGGACCTTTTCCCTGTAACGATGTAGCAAATCACCATAGATTGTGAAGAGAAATGAAGCTCCGGTAACATACTGAAGGTTTGCTCCATCTCTCAAGTGAATCAAACCACCTGGAGTCTTGGGAACTTTGAAATAAGGACTCTCGGGAAGCACCGAGCAAATATAACTTTCGGCATGGTCCTTGTTGGATTTCAAAGCCACATCATGGAATCGAAAGTAAGTCTGCAATATATATATATATACACACAGTGGTGAGATTCATTGCAGAAAAGGGTTTAACATTGAGTGAATTAAGTAATGTTTTGGGTTAATAATATGCCTCGGAAAGGAGGACTTGGGTCCCAGCATATTTAAGGTCCCAGTTAAACTCATCCACAACCGCATCCACTCCTTCGTCTGTGATAAACTTCCAGTAGGTTTTGCCTTGGGTGGCAGTGTGTAACCATGCTGCAGCCCACAACAGCTCATCCTGCAAACAAATACACCATTCTCTAATCACATGCTTCTGTTTTGAGTTAAGATATAGTATTTATTAAGAGAAGGAGAGATTACATGATAGCCAGAGAAAGAGCAATAGAAGGGGCATTCTCCATCGTAAGTTCCTTTGTGCTTTTTAGCAAATTTGAAAAGCTGCAAACAAAAATAAATTTAAGGTTCAAAACTTACAAGCAATCAGAAGAAAAAAAAACCCTATATGCATACCGATTTGGCTTTGTTAAGAAGGCGACGTGCATAAGCTTGATCAACGCTTCTAAAGACAATAGAAGAAGCAGCCATTGCGGCTGAAGTTTCAGCTGCAATCTCTGTTCCAGGCACGGTTTCATTAATTTGCAACACGGTTCTTGGCGTCTTCATATTCTCCGGTCTTACCCAACATTTATGATCTTCATTAGGGTCACCAACCTGAACGAACAATTTGTTCTTTCTGCTAGCGCATTTTAGAAAGTAATCGGTGCCCCAACGAAGAGCTGCATAAACATTTTCCAACTCCCCAGCTGAATGAAGCTCGTTTTTGTAAGCAATGGCGGACCATGCCAGGGTGGTGATGGTGAAGGCCATTGGCAACCCAAACTTCACGTTGTCTCCTGCATCGTAATACCCTCCCACAAGGTCGACCTGGTCGATAAACATGTATGCAAATAATGAAAACGATTATAAATCGAAACATAAAGGTATCGAAAGGGTGTTTGATTAATTACATTTGCTTCTTTTCCATCGTCAAGAGCGGAATCTCCCCTCCATTTTAATCTATTATTAGGAGGGAGTTCCCCTGACCTTTGTGCTTCCAAGAAGATGATGGACTTTGTGAGGGCTTCCCTGTAGTTGAAATCTTCACCACTAACACCGATTAGACAGCACTGGAAAAGAGCCAACCATGCAACGACGGCAGCTGCTGATGTTCTTCCAAGACTGCCCATGGAAACAAAAAACACCAATTCTAATTTCAATACGATTAGATATCTATACTAATCCTATGCCCAGAAACCAAAGTCTTTCTAAGAGCTCTTGGGCATGGGAGCTCTCAGTTTTTATTTTTTTCGCTTTCTTTTTCCAAACTTTGGGCTGTGGTGAATGGAAAAGATGGAAGAGTTTATAAGGACTCCCAAAACGTTAAATTTAGTATGGATTTTCTGTTTTGTTTCTTCAAAACGGGACCTATTATTAGTCGACGGTAAAATTAATTACACTATTATTAGAAAAAAGGGTTTGTTCAGGTATTTCCGGGAACCATAACTCCCAAATTGCAGTATATTTGGTATGATATTGCACTCGTAAATCTGAACGTTTCTGTTAATTATATAGATTTAAACTCGTGTACTTTTACATATATATTTATATATTACGTGGATAACATATCAATTGAATTGATATTTATTTGATAATAATATGTATGTTGTTTTTAATTTATCGGTTGTTCATATTGGAATTGTACATGATCAACAACTCTTAATTTAGTAAATCTCAAAAAGGACTTAAAGAGGGAAAAGAAAAAGAAGTCCCTTCTTATAGTCTTGAACGAGAGTTTTATAATGATTCTTAGTTATTTTTTTAATAAAGTCATAATGATTACTCGTAAGGCATTTATTCACAACGAAATTTAAATCATAGTTCAATACTCCTAGAGTCATTTACACAATATAAGTTCAATTTAATCTTAAAATAGACTAAACATTAATCTCTAACACCAATAAAATATAACACACATTACTCGATCCGGATATTCGATCGGTAAGAGATATCACAAACTGACATCTAAATAGTTCTCAACTTATTCGTAAGTTGGAATGAGCAGATAAAATTCAAATCTATTTTAAGGATCATGATATAACTTATGTAATCATAGAATAGAATGACTTACACAACTAATTATATCAACCATGATTTCAAACTTAGGCATGATCAATATTGGGTATCGCTATTAACACCCAAGTATCGATATTTCAGGTAAAAGCGTTAATATATTTTATATATATATATTTTCATATTTTTTTTAAATTTCGAAGATTAAATTAGTATTAATATATAAACTGCGGTCCATATATTGATAGGGCTAAGATATGACCAAAGATTTAAAGGTTGCTATTAATTTGATCTTCTGATTTTTTTTTCTTCTTTCTATTTTCAATAATTACATCCATATTTATTACAAGTTGCATATATACCGAGTCCATAAATGTGATATTAACAATAACCATAGTATTTTCCAAGTAATTAAGATTGATGGGCCCTATCAAAGAGTTTTTGACCAGGTGCAAGGAGAGCCTTGGGATCAAATCTAGCCTTCCTCTCCACAAATCTCGTCCATTGATTCCCAAATTGTCGTTTCCAATCATCTTTGGACAGGTAGTGAGGGAGATATTACTTGAAATCCAAATCCTGTTTGGTGCACCACTCCACTATCTCATTGTTTTGTGCCACCGATTTCTCAACCAATGGACATCCGGCACCGACCGGAGCAATGCCACCATGTAGAAGATCTCGCTGTCAGGTAACGCCACTGATGTTCGATTATCCCACCTATAAACACATTATAAAGAAACCGTGCAATATTTTATTAAAATCAATGAATATATATATTTGATTATTATAACGACAAAAATGAATATATATATTTGATTATTATAATGTCAACCACGGCCACGGCCTCTGTCACGGTGAAAGACGCTAGGATGGTGAAGTGGACTGCCCGATTTGATGTCGTGAACTGGAAACTCGTTGGTGGAAAATCATCATCTAATATCCTGTAAAACAATAAACGATATAGTACATTAGTAATGGATTAATCAAAATAAAATCGAAATTTACCTCAAGAGTATTTTCGAATGTTGCCGAACTCATCGAACATGATGAGAAAGTTGACTGTTGTGGACGAGAGGAAGTAGTGACTTTGGTTGGCGTGGACTAGAAGGACAGTGATGGGGAGCAGCGAAGAGGTATGACGAACAGTGTTCGGTCCGGGCCGGAAGAGTGGCAGCGTCGTTCGATTGATTCCTTATACGTACCATCGTGGAGCGAGCATTGGTGTTGTCGGGTCGGTTTCGCGTGCGCATCATAGCGGATTAGGGAGGAACGAGTGGCGTGAACACGTTGAAGCGAGTAGATTTTTTTTTCGTTGAAGCCACCGGCAGTGAAAAGGACGAGGAGCGATGAGTGGCGTGCGTTTCGAGTGGTGGTCGAGTTGGAGAAGATGAAGGGAAGAAGTGTGAATGGGGTTTAATTGGGTACTGTCATGCTTGGGAGGGGAAAGGAGTTTGAATAGAAGTCAAAATGAGTTTTATATTTAATGATAAAGTGTTTTGAAAATTAAAAAAGGTTGATGAAAGGTGATAGGATAGGGTCCACGACATAGTAAAATAAAAGAGGAAGAGAAGGGATTGAAGTGTTGGGCGGTAGGAAGATAACGAAAAAGGGGAAGAGAAAAAATGGGGTTTGCTAACGTGTGCCCAAGCCTCCCTTGGGTTTTGGTAACGTGTGTCGTTAATGAAACGGTGCACACAAGCTTCTCCTTTTTTTTTGTTCGACCGTGTACTGCGCTATAGGATCTGAATTTGGCACTGTTCGAATGGAAATTTCGCAATTCTTCGTCGCTTAAGTTTGAATAAAAATATTTGGTTCCTGCAAAATAAAAATAAAAATTAAATTAAACATGCTTGATCGAATGAAAATAAAAAGTAAAAATAAAAATTTAACGGATAAACGATGGGTTGCCTCCCATGAAGCGCTTTTGTTTAACGTCGTTAGTTCGACGGCCTAATTCAGACAACAAGTTCCGTGACAGACACTTCCACTTCATTCATTTTTTCCAACTAAGAAATTTCTTATGAGAAATTCGAAAGTTCTCATTAAGATTTCTTCGAATATTTCCCAAATTAAGAATCTTGTCGAAAAGAACGACCGTCAAAACATATTTTTTACCAAAAATTAATTTCTTCAAATGATTCCTCGATGGTTTCGACTTAATTTTTGGTGCCTAGAAAAGGGAGGGTAAATCTTTTGTTTTTAAAGAAGTTAAGTTCAAATTTGAATCAACAACTGAAATATTTTTCAACTCCCTTATGTCGTCTTTTTTATCACCTGATTCCTTGCATAAATCATCAACAAAGTTAGATTCATCATCAACATGTTTAATAACGCCAACAAAATTAATACTATGCACATATCCAGATATCTAATTGTTTTATAAACATCAAATTTTAAGATCTCACCGTCGAACTCCATAGTAAGAATACCGCTTTGAACGTCAATTTTTGCATTTGTCGTGCTCATAAAGGGATGATCGAGGAGGATTTCAGAACCAATTTTGCTTCGATCATTTTCCATATCAATCACATAAAAATCAGCAACGAAAATTAAATCTTCTACCTCTACTAGAACATTTTCTATGAGTCCTTCAGGATAAGTAATTGATTTGTCGGCTAGCTGAAGTGTAACTCTCTTCTTCTTCAAAGGCTTGGTGGAAATTAAATTATAGACGGAGAGAGGCATTACATTGATAGAGACACCTAGATCGCACATAGTTCGCTTGATTTTAACCTCATCGATTTTACAAGGTACTGAAAACATACCTTGGTCTTTATACTTTGGTGGAAGCGGTCGTTAGAAAACTGCTAAGACAATTGCACCTAAATCCACCTTTTCGTTTTCGATAAGTCACCTTTTGTTAGTGCACAGATCCTTCAAGAACCGGGCATACCTTGGAACTTTCCGGATAACCTCAAGGAGAGGTATGTTAACTTCTACCTTCTGAAGTACGTCTAATATTTCCTTTTCCTCAGTTTTTTATATCCTTTTTAACTAACCACGATGGAAAAGGCGGTGCACGTCATAGGGGGATGGCGTCGTGTCGTCCATTTGTTCTTCATCATTCTCTTTCTGGGATCCTGTGTCAACTGCTTCTTCTTCCCCCTGAGAGTTCAAATTTTCTTCTTTCTTCCGGGACCTTGCACTTACTTCTTTTGGGTCTGGTTGTTCAACAATTTTACCGCTTCGGAGGGTGATGGCGCTAACATCTCTATTGGATTCGGCTCAGTTTGTGATGATAGCCTCATTTGTGACTCTAATCTCCCTACGGCTTGAGTCAGTTGGCTTATCTATATGTCCATCTCTTGGAAGTGGGCTTCAGTTCGAGTCTGGAATTTTTCTTGGGATAGTGCTAACCTCTCGACAATCGATTCTAATGATGACTTCTGCGGTTGTTGCGATGGTGGATGTCTCGCTTGATAGCCTTGATTCGGTCTCGGATTCTAAGCATAACTGAAGTTCAGATGATCCCTCCATCCTGGGTTGTATGAACTACCGTAAGGATTATAAGCTCTTTGGGGAGGTCCCAGAAAATTCCCGACTGCATTGACTTGAGTTGATGCGTCGTCTTGAATCAGTGGACAATCGTCTGTCAGATGATCAGGTAATGCGCATATTCCACATAATCGGTTTTGTCATGTTTTTCCTGCAACAAGAGAGTTTACGACTTCTGTTAACTTATCTATTTTATTTTCTAAGGAAGATGAACTTATCTCATAAACCCTTCGAGAAAGTTCATTATTTGTGCGGAACTGTTGGGAATTTACAGCCATCGTCGATATTAAGTTCCTAGCTTCAGTAGGAGTCATATTCACCAAGGCTCCGCCGCTGGCAGCATCGATCATCTTCATTTCCAGGGGAGATAATCCTTCATAAAAGTATTGAAGGAGTGTTTGTTCAGTAGTAGTCGTAAAGTGACTCTCCATCAAGCTGCTTGATTCCAAGTATTCTCCTTAGTAGTTCACTTACTTTCGCCACAGGGAAAAACCTGTCAAGAAAAAGACGAGTCATATGAGCCCATGTAGTAATAGAATTAGGAGGAAGATAAAATAATCACTCTTTAGCCGAATCGGCTAAGGAAAAAGGAAAAGCTCTGAGTTTTATTTGGTCCTCGGTTACTCCCTGTGGTCTCATGCTTGAGCAGACCATATGAAATTCCTTGAGATGTTTGTGTGGATCCTCGTTCGGTAATCCGCGGAATGTAGGGAGGAGATGAATAAGGCCAGTTTTCAACTGGTA